TAAAAAAAAATACTTGGAAGTTCAGTTATCTCTCAATAGATAGAGAAAAAAATTAAGAAAAAATACTTGGAAGTTCAATTATCTCTCAATAGATGGAGAAAAAATAAAAAAAAATACTTGGAAGTTCATTTATCTGTCAATAGATGGAGAAAACATTCTTCGAAGTTCAATTATCTCTCAGTAGATGGAGAAAAATTAAGGAAAAATACTTGGATGTTTAGTTATCTCTCAATAGACGAGAAAAAATACTTGGAAGTTCAGTTATCTCTCAATAGATGGAGAAACAAATAATAAGATAAATACTTGGATGTTCAGTTATCTCTCAATAAATGGAGACTGTATTGAACTATTATTAAAAACCTTTACTTAACCCAACGACTACCGGCTACTAACTTTCTTAGTAGCCAATGTAAGTCTTGCTATTTGTCATTCCAACAATAAAACTAGTGGTTAAAAAAGTTTTAAATCTTCATAATGACTTTAATAAATGCGTGAAGTTTAAGAAACATAAAGCCTGTTACTTGTGATAAGTTTAGTTTTTTTTGCATTATGATCTATAGTATTTTGAAAAATTATGTTAGGAAATGGTATTTATAAGAAATGATTACCATATTTATATTTATTCCAGATTTGAACTGATTACTTTTATGTTTTAGTACATTATTTTGCAATCCCAAAACAATTTGTGTCGTCCATAAAGTGCAAATTTTGTCTATTTTTATTTCTTTAATAATCACATACTCTCCTTATGGTTTCAAGTTATATACAAGACCCAAAAATAATATCTGTAAGTAAACCTAAACAATAAATGAGTATTTTTGTTTTTAACTAAGATTTCATGTTTATATATGTACATAAAAACATTTTAATTTTCTTTCATAAATATATTTTTATTTCAAGTTTATTTTTATGTTTCATTGCAGCCGTATTTTTGTTTATTGTTCAGGATGTATCAAGGATTAGGCAGTGTTATTGAAACCACCTGTACTGTAAGCTATTACAACTCACTAGTAGTGGCAATTAGGTTTCTCGGTATAGTGAAACAATATACAAGGACATGTGTTGAAATAAACTTGTTTGAAAGTTCAAAGAAATGATATTCAAGTACCGAAAAGCTTTCTTGTTATCATATCGACAGTAATGTTCAAATGCGTCCACGCTGGGCTGAACGAGAGTGACCCCCAACTGCTGCTGACCCAACGGTTTATGCGGCTTAGAAGAGATTACCAAACGATACAGACACCATAAATTACAAAGAAAGTCAATTCATAGCACTTAAAATATTAGTCTGGTCACATTCCTCTCATTATAATCAATATTTATGTTGGAATTTGAAACTTAAGCCCTTCAATGTATTAGCACCCCAGCTGTGAGAATGTTATAGCTTTCCTGGTATTATTGACACGAATGTGTTTAGTCTGTTTCACGACTAACATATGGGCTTTATTGTTGTCACTTGTACACTGAGTTTTAACACATATATAAAACAAAATTATTGAACTTAAAACTACGAATTTAAATACAAAAGTATATAAAAAAATCACAAATTCTTACAGTTCAAAGTCCTAAGCCTACTTCATGTAAAGACCTTGCACTCGCCACTCGATAGCTGTTAACCCTAACAATTGTGGGGAGCACCACAGTACATACCCTATTTGGTGACAATTGTTCCTGCAGACACACAGATTTTGCCATATAATGGTTTAAATGTCCTTTTTAATTAAATCTTCCCCCACCTATTTGATGGACATAATAGTGACATTAATATTATATGGCTGTTCAAACATTAATTTTTAATTCTAGCAAGGTTATTTTGAAATTTGTGAAATAATATGAAGCAAATTTTATGGTCGTTTCTTAAACAAAGTTAATAATGATCTATACCATATAAATCTTTTTAAAATGATTTTTGGACACAAAATAAAAATAAACTGCTAGTTTCAGTAAGCTACAAAAAACATGCCAATAAACAAAAGGTGTTTTCTTATGTAAAACTAAAACTATATTTTGAATAGTATTAAATTTAAATTTCTTTAACAATATCCTTATTAATATTTAACATAGAGTAAAATGCTGAACAAATGACAACAAAAATAAAGTTGAAATGTTAGATATTTAAACAGAATATTGCTCATAAATTCATGATTGAATGTTAAGTATTTTAATCAAGATACTACACAAGTTTTAAACATGAACATTTTGAGCCATCTAAATGTAGTTTCATTTAACACATTGTGTGAATCTTGATGATTTTTCTAATTAATCACCTTTTATTGTCATTTAAAAAGTACACTTGGTGAAACTGTCTTTATTGAAAAAAAAATTTGGTTGAAAGATGACTTCCAATTTAAAGTGTTGCTTCTTGTACAATGACATATGTTTGGTTATGTTAATGCTAAGCACAATAATTTTTTTCTAGTTATTTGTAATGAATATTCTTATAACACCAAAATTATGAACTTTTAGTCAATCACCTGGTGAATAAATCTTGGGTAATTCATTGGTGGTATTGAAAAAAATTATTGCACCCAATTTTGTTCTAAAGAAAACACCAATAACACAAAATGTATCATTTATATGTTTATGTTGAAGCTGAGGAAGTCTCTTAACTTTTATCAACTTTTAATTTTTAAACCAAAATTTGTACTTAGATTTTTACCTCATTTTTTGTCAAGTTTATTTTAAGTTAGCTGAAAACCTTATGGAAGGTGGTATATATATATATATAAAACAAACAAACGTATATATATATGTATAAAATAGAAAAATATCTTTATTTTCTGTCATACAGGAATGCTCCATTTGTTGTACATCTATACATTTTATTTTATCAGATAGTTAGCTATTAATCTCACTTAATAAACAGCTGTTTATATTTTTAAACCACAGTATACACATGGTAGTGATTCATAAAACTAACTCTTATTCTGGATGTTATATGAATCTATATAAAACCTAAATGTTATGCTAGGATAGGAAATTCATGTTTTTTAGGATGTTATATATTAGTTATACAACCAAATTTAATGAAGTTTTAATTTTTTTGTGTTTTAAAGTTTATATCATTCTTAACTTTTAAATGAACTCCAAGGTTTTAATTTTTCAAATCTAAATTTAAGACAAAAAATAAAAAAATTAAACATAGTTCTGTAACATGTAATACATTCTGGTACTGTTTTTAAATGTTCTTTTTTTTATGTACATTAAACTGAAACATTTTATTCATTTTTATACTTTTTTAATCAACAGTTCAAAGGCACTACTCTTTCTTTATGTCTACTTAAAGTTTCTGCACCAACATGGCACCAGCACCACCACCACCATTACAGGCAGTTGCCACACCATATTCTCCAGGTTTCAGGTTCAAGACAAGACAATTAACAATTCGAGCACCAGACATCCTGTGTGTATAATAATAAAAGTAATAATCAAATGAGCAAAAGAATATTTATGCAAACTATTTATAATGGACTACTCTTATAAATATGGCTGTTGAAAACCTTATTTCCTTACTAGCTGGAGTACCCAGAAGTTATACAAATTCATGATTAATGAAACGTTATGTTAGGACATAAATTGCTTCCCTTATATGTAATTACAAAAATGCCTATAAAAACTGCAAAAAACAAAATGTGAAACTGCAATTTTGCACATATCTCTGCATGGACCCAACAGACCTTCGTGCCAAATTTGGTAAAAATCCATCAATGTGAAACTGCCATTTTGCACATATCTCTGCATGGACCCAACAGACCTTCGTGCCAAATTTGGTAAAAATCCATCAACAGGGGGCGAGGTAATGGTGAAAAATGCAGAAACGTTCATAAAAACTGCAAAACTGAAAATTTGTATGTACCCCCGCATGGATCTAATGAGCTTCCATACCAATTTTGGTGAAGATCCATCCATACCCTGTGAAGTAGGTATATGGACATACAACAGACAATACTATTACATTTATATAGATGTAATATACCATTTGTGAAGAGGAACATGTAATAGTGTATATAACGTCTAGTTATGAAAGCTCTCATATTTCTGATCTTTGCATATAAGAGTTCTAACCAACAATAAGTGGTTAACTTGAAGCAATATTAACTGGAATATTATAGTTAGCTGTACCATTTTTTGGGTTCCACTATCCTCTGTCCTTCATATTTTTACATTATTTAGACTAATATATTTTTTAAAATCATCCCTTTTAGTAAAGCCATCTATGAATGTTATTTATATATATTTCCATAAATTTCAATCATCAAACTGAGAATAAAACTGAAAAAGAAAATGAGTCAGTTACATACCCAAAAGGATGTCCCAAGATTACTGAACCTCC